AGGATGGGGGAATATATACCACGTTTTGAGCAGCGAGAAGGTGATCAGCGCAGTTATGGTCCACAACGTCTTCCCACTTTGGGAGCTGTTCCGGTCAAGAATGAAAAAGGACAAGTGGTTATGCAGAAAGTCAAAGTGCAGCGGTATATCGCTGGTAAAATGTAATACATTTTTCTTCACTTGAGTTCTTTCTGCATTTTTTCGAAGATATTGAATCATAGTTAGACAGCTGATGAGTTTTCAGGCCTAATTATGCCAAAGAAGGTGGCTCAGAATCGGATGAAGAACGAGATGACAAAAAGCGACGTGAGAGCAGGTAAATCTTCAACCTCTGCTGGAAGCACTGGATTTTCTCTGATCAACTTTCTTCATTCCTTACTCTATCATTTTTTCATCATACACAGATTTGACAAGGAAGAACGACCCAAGGATAGGCACAGGCGAGAGAAAGACGATGAGCACGAACATGAACAAAGGCATCGCGATCGTCATCGCGATGAAGGAAGTAGTCGCCCTATTGAAGAACCCGAGGTGATCTGATTTTGATCTACCTGAATTCTCTTTCAAAGCCAAATTTATTTTTAGATATTGAAACAAGACAAAGAAGAGGAAGATGCAGAAGCTGTTGAGCAACGTCGTCAAAGAGCTCGCCTGAGGAGACTTAACCTAGAACAGCAACAGCAGCAAGAGGTATGCTATAATTTTTTCAAATATTTTGATTATCTATCTTGTGAGTTTTCTTGTAAGGACTCATTCGTAAGGTCTTTTGTCAGCTCTATTTCATAACAGTTGAGTCCTCATTTTCTAGGAAGAAGATGATGCTGGTAGTGATGAAGAGGAGTTTGAGCGACGTCGAAGAATACTCCGAGAAAAAGCCAAGCAGAGAGAGCTTGAGGAGATGAAATTGAAGGCAAGTTGATATTGTGCCGTTATATTCACCCTTTTTGATTATTTAGGAGGAAATCAAACAAGAAGAAGAGGAGTTTGAGGAGGAGGATGAGGAGGAAAGCGAGGAAGAGTCTAGCGAAGAAGAAGAGGATGATACCTTACCGCGGTTGAAGCCAGTAAGTTTTACCACTATTAGTCATTTTTTTAAAATAAATCACTCAGTCACTTTTTTACCAAGCTGAGGTTTTCAATCGTCTTGCTTCCAGGTTTTTGTCAGAAAGAAGGATCGTATCACATTGATCGAAGCCGAAAAAGAGAAACAACAAGAAGAGCAACGAAGACGCGAAGAGG